TTGCTGATCACAAAGATCGAAGAGAAGGAGATACTGAGAAGTTACTCAGAAGTACACAGACTAGTCATGCTTTGAGCAGAAGAATAAGATAGAGAAGAGATCATGCTCAAGCTGCCAGGCATCTGCATTCACTGACGTCATATCTACAATCTAGTCTTTAGAATCTAGATTCTCTAACAGATCAAATTCCACTGTTGTGTACCGATATGAGAAGGACATAAATGTATAATGCTCTTAAAGATTCTGATAGATCTTTTGGGACTTTGATGAGAGATGTTGAAACAATCACTCTTTGTGAAGTAGTGGTGGGTTTTTTCAGTCTCCACCAGTCTATTGAGGAATCAAAAAAGGAAAACATCAAAGGTACTGTTGTGTAGGATGCTCCATACACTAGGTCACTAGTGGTAGATAGAAAACTCACTCAAAGGTAAAACAGAGGGTGAGTTACTGTAAGGGAATTCCCCACACGTGGGAGTCACGTGATTTGCATAATGATACGCAAGTCAGATCATTTGGACTTTGGCTGTCTAGCTAGCTACACTCCTTTCGAGCAACTTCACAATATATTGTTGTTAAGCCTTATTCACAGATTCCGGGTGTTGAACATTATGCAATGCCAACTTTTCAAAGCCAACAGGGTCGACAGGGTTGACATATCATGGTCAACATACCATGGTCAACAGGGTTGACATACCAGGGTCGACAGGGTTGACATATCATGGTCAACATACCATGGTCAACAGGGTTGACATACCATGGTCGACATATACCATGGTCAACAGGGTTGACATTACATGGTCAACAGGGTTGACTTACCATCGTCAACAGGGTTGACTTACCATGGTCAATATACCATGGTCAATAGGGTTGACATACCAAGGTCAACATACCATGGTCAATAGGGTTGACATACCAAGGTCAACATACCATGGTCAACAGGGTTGACATAACATGGTCAACATACCATGGTCAACCGGGTTGACATAACATGGTCAACATACCATGGTCAACAGGGTTGACATAGAAGAAGGACCATAATTGAAAGAAATAATAAGTATGATACAATATGGAACAGTTTTATACCAATCATAACAGCAATCAATGCATCACATCAACAGTATTGTAGCTAATAGGTTTAATATGTTAAATCAGTTAATGCACTAGTCTTCCAGTGTTAAAATGGAACTACTATACTAGTTGTCTTTAATATGTATAGTATATTATCTACACTGAACAAAAATATAAACGCAACATGTAAAGTGTTGTTAAATAGCATTATCATTACCCAGGTGCACCTTGTGCTGGGGACAATAAAAGGCCACTCTAAAATGCGCAGTTTTGTCACACAACACAATGCCACAGATGTCTCAAGTTTTGAGGGAGCGTGCAATTGGCATGCTGACTGTAGGAATGTCCACCAGAGCTGTTGCCAGATAATTTAATGTTAATTTCTTTACCATAAGCCTCCTTAACGCCGTTTTAGAGAATTTGACAGTACGTCCAACCGGCCTCACAATCGCAGACAACGTGTATGGCGTCGTGTTGCGAGTGGTTTGCTGATGTCAACGTTGTGAACAGAGTGCCCCATGGTGGCGGTGGGGTTATGGTATGGGCAGGCATAAGCAATGGACAACGAACACAATTGCATTTTATCGATGGCAATTTGAATGCACAGAAATAGGCCATTTTGAGGCCCATCTTTTAAAAAGGTATCGGTGGCCAACAGACGCATTCTGTATTCCCAGTCATGTGAAATCCATAGATTAGGGCCTAATGAATTTATTTTAATTGACTAATTTCCTCATATGAACTGTAACTCAGTAAAATCTTAGAAATTGTTGCATGTTGCGTTTATATTTTTGTTCAGTATACTTCAAAAAATGTCTCTATAGACTGTTAGCTTGACAATGAATGTGACAGAGATGATACTTTCTACTACACAGACGTTTGAACCAGGTCCAATCAGCAATAATGATACTATTGACAACAAATCTGATGTCAACCATAGAAATAGAATCACTTTCAAAATGGCCGCCGGTCTACCCATTATAGACCCACTGACTTGAATGGGGATTCCCATTCTAGTGATTCTATTTCTATGATGTCAACAGCCTTGTCAACTTAACACCTGTTGTGCAGCAAGCAGTAAAGTATCTGTACCTCTCCTGGGTTTAGTGTGTTACTGTTAGACATGTACTGTTTGTGACTGATGAAAACCCACACCTGGTCCTGGGGACCAAGCAGACCTTTCACTTCATCCATGAGGGGAGGAGGAGAGGATGGAGGGATGAGAGGACCAGGACCAACAGTAGGAGGGACAGAGTGAAGGGAGTCCACATGTGTAACAGTAGGTGTGTGTGTGTGTGTGTGTGTGTGTGTGTGTGTGTGTGTGTGTGTGTGTGTGTGTGTGTATGTGTATGTGTATGTGTATGTGTACAGTGGGGGAAAAAAGTATTTAGTCAGCCACCAATTGTGCAAGTTCTCCCACTTAAAAAGACGAGAGAGGCCTGTAATTTTCATCATAGGTACACGTCAACTATGACAGACAAATTGAGAAAAAAAAATCCAGATAATCACATTGTAGGATTTTTTATGAATTTATTTGCAAATTATGGTGGAAAATAAGTATTTGGTCAATAACAAAAGTTTCTCAATACTTTGTTATATACCCTTTGTTGGCAATGACACAGTTCAAACGTTTTCTGTAAGTCTTCACAAGGTTTTCACACACTGTTGCTGGTATTTTGGCCCATTCCTCCATGCAGATCTCCTCTAGAGCAGTGATGTTTTGGGGCTGTCGCTGGGCAACACGGACTTTCAACTCCCTCCAAATATTTTCTATGGGGTTGAGATCTGGAGACTGGCTAGGCCACTCCAGGACCTTGAAATGCTTCTTACGAAGCCACTCCTTCGTTGCCCGGGCGGTGTGTTTGGGATCATTGTCATGCTGAAAGACCCAGCCATGTTTCATCTTCAATACCCTTGCTGATGGAAGGAGGTTTTCACTCAAAATCTCACGATACATTGCCCCATTCATTCTGTCCTTTACACGGATCAGTCGTCCTGGTCCCTTTGCAGAAAAACAGCCCCAAAGCATGATGTTTCCACCCCCATGCTTCACAGTAGGTATGGTGTTCTTTGGATGCAACTCAGCATTCTTTGTCCTCCAAACACGACGAGTTGAGTTTTTACCAAAAAGTTCTATTTTGGTTTCATCTGACCATATGACATTCTCCCAATCCTCTTCTGGATCATCCAAATGCACTCTAGCAAACTTCAGACGGGCCTGGACATGTACTGGCTTAAGCAGGGGGACACGTCTGGCACTGCAGGATTTGAGTCCCTGGCGGCGTAGTGTGTTACTGATGGTAGGCTTTGTTACTTTGGTCCCAGCTCTCTGCAGGTCATTCACTTGGTCCCCCCGTGTGGTTCTAGGATTTTTGCTCACCATTTTTGCTCATCATTTTGACCCCATGGGGTGAGATCTTGCGTGGAGCCCCAGATCGAGGGAGATTATCAGTGGTCTTGTATGTCTTCCATTTCCTAATAATTGCTCCCACAGTTGATTTCTTCAAACCAAGCTGCTTACCTATTGCAGATTCAGTCTTCCCAGCCTGGTGCAGGTCTACAATTTTGTTTCGGGTGTCCTTTGACAGCTCTTTGGTCTTGGCCATAGTGGAGTTTGGAGTGTGACTGTTTGAGGTTGTGGACAGGTGTCTTTTATACTGATAACAAGTTCAAACAGGTGCCATTAATACAGGTAACGAGTGGAGGACAGAGGAGCCTCTTAAAGAAGAAGTTACAGGTCTGTGAGAGCCAGAAATCTTGCTTGTTTGTAGGTGACCAAATACTTATTTTCCACCATAATTTGCAAATAAATTCATTAAAAATCCTACAATGTGATTTTCTGGAAAAAAAATTCTCAATTTGTCTGTCATAGTTGACCATCTGGATGATCCAGAGGAGGAATGGGAGAAGGTCATGTGGTCTGATGAGACAAAAATAGAGCTTTTTGGTCTAAACTCCACTCGCTGTGTTTGGAGGAAGAAGAAGGATGAGTACAACCCCAAGAACACCATCCCAACCGTGAAGCATGGAGGTGGAAACATCATTCTTTGGGGATGCTTTTCTGCAAAGGGGACAGGACGACTGCACCGTATTGAGGGGAGGATGGATGGGGCCATGTATCGCGAGATCTTGGCCAACAACCTCCTTCCCTCAGTAAGAGCATTGAAGATGGGTCGTGGCTGGGTCTTCCAGCATGACAACGACCTGAAACACACAGCCAGGGCAACTAAGGAGTGGCTCCGTAAGAAGCATCTCAAGGTCCTGGAGTGGCCTAGCCAGTCTCCAGACATGAACCCAATAGAAAATCTTTGGAGGGAGCTGAAAGTCCGTATTGCCCAGCAACAGCCCCGAAACCTGAAGGATCTGGAGAAGGTCTGTATGGAGGAGTGGGCCAAAATCCTTGCTGCAGTGTGTGCAAACCTGGTCAAGACCTACAGGAAACATATGATCTCTGTAATTGCAAACAAAGGTTTCTCTACCAAATATTAAGTTCTGCTTTTCTGATGTATCAAATACTTATGTCATGCAATAAAATGCAAATTAATTACTTAAAAATCATACAATGTGATTTTCTGGATTTTTGTTTTAGATTCCGTCTCTCACAGTTGAAGTGTACCTATGATAAAAATTACAGACCTCTACATGCTTTGTAAGTAGGAAAACCTGCAAAATCGGCAGTGTTTCAAATGCTTGTTCTCCCCACTGTATATATATATATATATATATATATATATACATATATATATATATATATATATATATATATATATATATGTGTGTATATATATATATATATATATGTATGTGTGTGTGTGTGTGTGTGTGTATCCAGAATATGCATAATGACTCAGATTCACCATCTCAGAGGTCCTAGGAGTCTTGACTCCTTTCAGAGCACACAAGGACAAATTAAGATTCTAACAGCTTATTTATTCATCATTGTGTGGGTATTGTACAATTGGAGGAGTCGTCTGGCTTTTTCTAATGTGTCTCCATTCTACTGTTGGTGCTAGCTGGTTTATCAGTGCTGGGATATGGATGGTCAGGGGGATGGATGGATGGTGACGAGGGGGCCAGGGGTGAAGGGGGGATATGGGTGATGGGGTGACTGGACATAGGGGGGAGGACACTGAGGATGGAGTCCTCACCATTCCTTGGGTAATAAGCCAGCTGTCTATGGGCAGCTCCAACTCTGGGTTATCATCCCCTATCACCCTCAGCTGAATCAACAACAGAACAAGACCTTACACAAGATTGAAGATAGAGGAAGCCCCAGACCAGAGCAACAGAGCACAGAGAGAAACAGAGAAATCAAATGCAACGCAACAAACCAGACTGAAGAAAAGATGGGGAGAAGGAAAGATGGGGGGGAACAGACGAGAGGAAAAATACAGAATCATTCCAATAAAAAGGTGAACGCATGGGGAAAGGAGGAAGGAAATAAGGAGTTTGAACTTTGAGCCCTCAGCTGATCACTAAGCCCCAGACTGGCAGTTACATTCCATCTGAGGCAATCTCAACTGGCACTGGAGGGTGAAGGGTGTGTGTAATCGGTTTGTGTAATCGGTGTGTGTGTGAGAGAGAGAGTGTAGATTTCATAATACTTTGTGTCTGGCCTTACATGTGCAGAATCTACATCTAGTTTAGTAGTGTAAAACCTGATAATTACAAAGTGCCTTGTTAGTACTGACTGACTGTGGTACTAGAAAAAAAACTCATCCAAAAAATAGTTTTGACAATTTGAAGGAGAAAAGGTGACATGCAAAAAGTGGAATTCAATAGCATGGTTTCCTATGATCTTTGACACACATAACGTGACCAAATACTGTCTTACAGAGTGCAATGAACAAGACAAGAGGAAGAAAAGAACACCCAAAAAAAAACTATACTGAGGAATGACAGAATGACCAAGTAATGGGAGTTTATAGTTTAAAATGTTTAGAGAGAGTATTACATGTACCTCTTTAGAGTACCTAGTTATACTAGACTACAAGCCATGCTTATTGTCTGTGTTTGTTACTACAACACTACAAGAGTGTAGTTCACCATTCAGAGCTGGCTAGCCATGGTCTACTACTGTATTCATCTGGTATTACTCTGGTAAAGTCTGTCAGAGGCTGCGTCCAATGGCACCCTATTCCCTATATAGTTTAGTACTTTTGACCAGTGCACTATATAGGGAATAGGGTGCCATTTGTGCTACAGAGAGCCGAGGTCAATCACATGCAGAGAGAGGAGACCAGGGGCTGAGAGATTAACCTTGTCAACCATTTTAACAGCACGTCAACCACACTCTACACTTCAATGTGGGGGGGGGATGTGAATCTAAACTACATCCCCCAGCATGCTTTGGTGCACTCACCCCTCCAGTGGTGTTCTGTTGTCTGACATCCAGAGCCGAGGCAAGCCCGCCCAGGGCCCGAGGGTCCTCGTACTTCACACTGACAACAAACACACACAAAAACACAAACAGAGAACAAGTTAGAGCCAGTCCCACTGTGTGGCATGGAGATTGTTCTGGAAGGCTGAGAGTGGCTCTAGAACAGGAGTGGACAAAAACACATTCACAACTCTGGTCCTGGGGGACAGCAAATTGCAGGATTTTGTTCCAGCCCAGCTCTAACACACCAGATTACATTTATGTTAGCCTAACTAGAAGACTATGATAAATTGATTATATTAATCAGGTGTGCTATTGCTGGACTGTGACCAAAAGCCTGCACACACTGCAGTCCGAGTCCGACAGGATCAAAGCTGCAAATCCATTGTAACAGGGTTCTAGAAGTTTGGAATGGGTTCTAGAAGCAAAAGGGAGAGCTAAGCTTGAAGAAGCCATACTTTCTGCGTTGGTCGGCCAGAGAGCTGGTCCTGGTCTGAGCGAACATGTCAAAGTCGTCTCCAAGGTTGTGGCCCGACAGAGAGGACAGGGTACCACTGACACTGTCCCCACCCACATCTGAGGGGGAGAGAGAGAGAGAGAGAGAGAGAGAGAGAGAGAGAGAGAGAGAGAGAGAGAGGGGCAGAGGTAGAGGGAGATAGGGAGAGAGAGAGAGGCAGAGAGAGAGAGAGATTCAGAGAGAGAGAGAGAGAGAGGCAGAGAGAGAGAGAGAGAGAGGCAGAGAGAGAGAGAGAGAGAGAGAGAGGAGAGGAGGGAAGAGAAAGAAAGGAAGAGAGAAAGAGAGGGTGTAAAAGGGGGTGTAGGGAAGAGAGTAAAAGAGAGATGAGATCTAAATGTCCACAATAACAGTCATCATCCTGCACCAGTCCTCTGGAATCAATGACAGTCATCATCCTGCACCAGTCCTCTAGAATCAATGACAGTCATCATCCTGCACCAGTCCTCTAGAATCAATGACAGTCATCATCCTGCGCCAGTCCTCTGGAATCAATGGCAGTCATCATCCTGCGCCAGTCCTCTGGAATCAATGACAGTCATCATCCTGCACCAGTCCTCTAGAATCAATAACAGTCATCATCCTGCACCAGTCCTCTACAATCAATGACAGTCATCATCCTGCGCCAGTCCTCTGGAATCAATGAGTCATCATCCTGCACCAGTCCTCTAGAATCAATTACAGTCATCATCCTGCACCAGTCCTCTAAAATCAATGACAGTCATCATCCTGCGCCAGTCCTCTGGAATCAATGGCAGTCATCATCCTGCGCCAGTCCTCTGGAATCAATGACAGTCATCATCCTGCACCAGTCCTCTAGAATCAATAACAGTCATCATCCTGCACCAGTCCTCTACAATCAATGACAGTCATCATCCTGCGCCAGTCCTCTGGAATCAATGAGTCATCATCCTGCACCAGTCCTCTGGAATCAATGACAGTCATCATCCTGCACCAGTCCTCTAGAATCAATTACAGTCATCATCCTGCACCAGTCCTCTACAATCAATGACAGTCATCATCCTGCGCCAGTCCTCTGGAATCAATGAGTCATCATCCTGCACCAGTCCTCTAGAATCAATTACAGTCATCATCCTGCACCAGTCCTCTAAAATCAATGACAGTCATCATCCTGCGCCAGTCCTCTGGAATCAATGGCAGTCATCATCCTGCGCCAGTCCTCTGGAATCAATGACAGTCATCCTCCTGCACCAGTCCTCTAGAATCAATAACAGTCATCATCCTGCACCAGTCCTCTACAATCAATAACAGTCATCATCCTGCGCCAGTCCTCTGGAATCAATGAGTCATCATCCTGCACCAGTCCTCTGGAATCAATGACAGTCATCATCCCGCACCAGTCCTCTAGAATCAATTACAGTCATCATCCTGCACCAGTCCTCTAGAATCAATGACAGTCATCATCCTGTGCCAGTCCTCTAGAATCAATAACAGTCATCATCCTGCGCCAGTCCTCTAGAATCAATAACAGTCATCATCCTGCACCAGTCCTCTAGAATCAATTACAGTCATCATCCTGCACCAGTCCTCTACAATCAATGACAGTCATCATCCTGCGCCAGTCCTCTGGAATCAATGAGTCATCATCCTGCACCAGTCCTCTAGAATCAATTACAGTCATCATCCTGCACCAGTCCTCTAAAATCAATGACAGTCATCATCCTGCGCCAGTCCTCTGGAATCAATGGCAGTCATCATCCTGCGCCAGTCCTCTGGAATCAATGACAGTCATCATCCTGCACCAGTCCTCTAGAATCAATAACAGTCATCATCCTGCACCAGTCCTCTACAATCAATGACAGTCATCATCCTGCGCCAGTCCTCTGGAATCAATGAGTCATCATCCTGCACCAGTCCTCTGGAATCAATGACAGTCATCATCCCGCACCAGTCCTCTAGAATCAATTACAGTCATCATCCTGCACCAGTCCTCTAGAATCAATGACAGTCATCATCCTGTGCCAGTCCTCTAGAATCAATAACAGTCATCATCCTGCGCCAGTCCTCTAGAATCAATAACAGTCATCATCCTGCGCCAGTCCTCTAGAATCAATGAGTCAACATCCTGCGCCAGTCCTCTGGAATCAATGACAGTCATCATCCTGCACCAGTCCTCTGGAATCAATGACAGTCATCATCCTGCACCAGTCCTCTAGAATTAATTACAGTCATCATCCTGCACCAGTGCTCTAGAACCAATGACAGTCATCATCCTGCGCCAGTCCTCTAAAATCAATGACAGTCATCATCCTGCGCCAGTCCTCTAGAATCAATAACAGTCATCATCCTGCGCCAGTCCTCTAAAATCAATGACAGTCATCATCCTGCGCCAGTCCTCTAAAATCAATGACAGTCATCATCCTGCGCCAGTCCTCTAGAATTAATAACAGTCATCATCCTGCACCAGTCCACTAGAATCAATGAGTCAACATCCTGCACCAGTCCTCTGGAATCAATGACAGTCATCATCCTTCACCAGTCCTCTAGAATCAATGACAGTCATCATGCTGAACCAATCCTCTAGAATCAATGACAGTCATCATCCTGCGCCAGTCCTCTAGAATCAATAACAGTCATCATCCTTCACCAGTCCTCTAAAATCCCTCATAATTCAGAAGCACCTCTCTTACTCCACTCACTGTGTGCGTCCCAAATGGCACCCTATTCCCGATGGGCCCTGGTCAAAAGTAGTGCACTACATAGGCAATAGAGTGCCATTTGAAACGCAAGCACTATAGATCAAAGGAGCATATTCTACCATGTTCTCCCCCTGCCTGCTAAGGCATTTTTCTCTATCTAAGGCCTCAGCCAGAGCATAGTGCCACAGAGTGCAGCAACATCATTTAGGCTAACAGGGGAGTCATTTACAGTGCATTATGAGAGTTATGGAGCAGGGCTTATTTCCCTGATTATAAACCTTCTTACACTCCACTGTGTGTGTGTGTGTGTGTGTGTGTGTGTGTGTGTGTGTGTGTGTGTGTGTGTGTGTGTGTAAGGCAGGGCTGGGGCTGCATGTATGTATGGGCGGTGTGTTGCATGCTATAGGCTACGCATCATTGCAGTATAATGCATTTGTATACAGTACACAGTGTACCATTTATGTTCCTATTGAACCCTTCCCCATCCTTACCTAGGCCAGCGAGCTGAGTGGACAGAGTTGAGGGGCCGGAGGTAGGGTCTTGGATCAGGGCCGGGGTCCGGGCAGGGGAGGCTGCAGCCCCTGTAGCCCCAGCCCTGGGGGCGGCTACGGGGGGGACGCTGGATGGTGGTGTGGGGGTGGCTCGGAGGCTGACCACAGCGGGCGAGCCTGGCGTTAGGTCTATCAGGTTGTCCTCTGTGGCTTCGCTCAGCATCTGGAGGGAGACACAACAGAACACAGTCAACACACATACAGCGGTGGCTCCTGTAGAGAAGATTAACAGAGGTAGGAGGTACTGGAGATGTCTACTGGTCCAACACATCACTGTCCTCTATTTTAGACTATGGACATCAGAGGGGTTTGCTTATATATATATATATATATATACAGTGGGGAGAACAAGTATTTGATACACTGCCGATTTTGCAGGTTTTCCTACTTACAAAGCATGTAGAGGTCTGTAATTTTTATCATAGGTACACTTCAACTGTGAGAGACGGAATCAAAAACAAAAATCCAGAAAATCACATTGTATGATTTTTAAGTAATATTTTGCATTTTATTGCATGACATAAGTATTTGATCACCTACCAACCAGTAAGAATTCCGGCTCTCACAGACCTGTTAGTTTGTCTTTAAGAAGCCCTCCTGTTCTCCACTCATTACCTGTATTAACTGCACCTGTTTGAACTCGTTACCTGTATAAAAGACACCTGTCCACACACTCAATCAAACAGACTCCAACGTCTCCACAATGGCCAAGACCAGAGAGCTGTGTAAGGACATCAGGGATAAAATTGTAGACCTGCACAAGCCTGGGATGGGCTACAGCATAATAGGCAAGCAGCTTGGTGAGAAGGCAACAACTGTTAGCGCAATTATTAGAAAATGGAAGAAGTTCAAGATGACGGTCAATCACCCTTGGTCTGGGGCTCCATGCAAGATCTCACCTCGTGGGGCATCAATGATCATGAGGAAGGTGAGGGATCAGCCCAGAACTACACGGCAGGACCTGGTCAATGACCTGAAGAGAGCTGGGACCACAGTCTCAAAGAAAACCATTAGTAACACACTACGCCGTCATGGATTAAAATCCTGCAGCGCACGCAAGGTCCCCCTGCTCAAGCCAGCGCATGTCCAGGCCGGTCTGAAGTTTGCCAATGACCATCTGGATGATCCAGAGGAGGAATGGGAGAAGGTCATGTGGTCTGATGAGACAAAAATAGAGCTTTTTGGTCTAAACTCCACTCGCCATGTATCACGAGATCTTGGCCAACAACCTCCTTCCCTCAGTAAGAGCATTGAAGATGGGTCGTGGCTGGGTCTTCCAGCATGACAACGACCCGAAACACACAGCCAGGGCAACTAAGGAGTGGCTCCGTAAGAAGCATCTCAAGTTCTTGGAGTGGCCTAGCCAGTCTCCAGATCTGAACCCAATAGAAAATCTTTGGAGGGAGCTGAAAGTCCGTATTGCCCAGCGACAGCCCCGAAACCTGAAGGATCTGGAGAAGGTCTGTATGGAGGAGTGGGCCAAAATCCCTGCTGCAGGATGTGCAAACCTGGTCAAGACCTACAGGAAACGTATGATCTCTGTAATTGCAAACAAAGGTTTCTCTACCAAATATTAAGTTCTGCTTTTCTGATGTATCAAATACTTATGTCATGCAATAAAATGCAAATTAATTACTTAAAAATCATACAATGTGATTTTCTGGATTTTTGTTTTAGATTCCGTCTCTCACAGTTGAAGTGTACCTATGATAACAATTACAGACCTCTACATGCTTTGTAAGTAGGAAAACCTGCAAAAATCGGCAGTGTATCAAATACTTGTTCTCCCCAATGTATATACATATACTACCGTTCAAAAGTTTGGGGTCACTTAGAAATGTCCTTGTTTTCAAAAGAAAAGCAATTTTTTTGTCCATTAAAATAACATCAAATTGATCAGAAATACAGTGTAGACATTGTTAATGTTGTAAAAGGCTATTGTAGCTGGAAACTGCTGATTTTTTATGGTCTACATAGGCGTACAGAGGCCCATTATCAGCAACCATCAGTCCTGTGTTCCAGTGGCACGTTGTGTTTGCTAATCCAAGTTTATAATTTGAAAAGGCTAATTGATCATTAGAAAACCCTTTTGCAATTATGTTAGCACAGCTGAAAACTGTTGTGCTGATTTAAAGAAGCAATAAAACTGGCCTTCTTGAGACTAGTTGAGTATCTGGAGCATCAGCAATTGTGGGTTCGATTACAGGCTCAAAATGGGCAGAAACAAATAACTTTCTTCTGAAACTCGTCAGTCTATTCTTGTTCTGAGAAATTAAGGCTATTCCATGCGAGAAATTGCCAAGAAACTGAAGATCTCGTACAACGCTGTGTACTACTCCCTTCACAGAACAGTGCAAACTGACCTTCTAGGCAGAGTTGCAAAGAAAAAGCCATATCTCAGTCTGCCCATCTTAATCTTTTATTTTTATTGCCCAGTCTGAGATATGGCTTTTTCTTTGCAACTCTGCCTAGAAGGTCAGCATCCCGGAGTCGCCTCTTCACTGTTGACGTTGAGACTGGTGTATTGCGGGTACTATTTAATTTAACTATTCCTCTTTCTATTCTGGTTAGAGCCAGTTTGCACTGTTCTGTGAAGGGAGTAGTACACAGCGTTGTACGAGATCTTCAGTTTCTTGGCAATTTCTCGCATGGAATAGCCTTAATTTCTCAGAACAAGAATAGACTGACGAGTTTCAGAAGAAAGTTATTTGTTTCTGCCCATTTTGATCCTGTAATCGAACCCACAATTTCTGATGCTCCAGATACTCAACTAGTCTCAAGAAGGCCAGTTTTATTGCTTATTTAAATCAGCACAACAGTTTTCAGCTGTGCTAACATAATTGCAAAAGGGTTTTCTAATGATCAATTAGCCTTTTAAAATGATAAACTTGGATTAGCAAACACAACGTGCCATTGGAACACAGAATGACTTCATATTCTAGTTCTCTGGAACAACACCACTATATAAAAGGTTCCATGTGAACATGTCATTTGGTCTTACTGTAGTAAGACATGTTTCAACATTTTCCTTATTGACTCTATTCATCTCAAGACAGAGCTGGGATAGAATGGAGTGCTGTCATACTTGCCTCCATTAGCTGACCACGACACAAAGAAACAGAGAAACACACAGAGACATAAAACTGCTATACATGCAGCAAATCAGTCACAAACATTGACAATCTAAATCATATCACATTGAAAATGCACTGAAACAAATCAGACATAATCAAATCAAATGTTATTTGTCACATGCTTCGTAAACAACATGTGTAGACTAACAGTGAAATGCTTACTTACGGCCCCTTCCCAACAATGCAGAATACAATAAAAAAATATATTATAATAATATTTAAAAATGATGGCACGAGGAATAAATCCACAATGAGTAATGACAGCTTGGCTATTTACATGGGGTAGCAGTACCCAGTCAATGTGCAGGGGTACGAGGTAATTGAGGTAGATATGTACATACAGTGGGGAAAAAAAGTATTTAGTCAGCCACCAATTGTGCAAGTTCTCCCACTTAAAAAGATGAGAGAGGCCTGTAATTTTCATCATAGGTACACGTCAACTATGACAGACAAATTGAGAAAAGAAAATCCCAGAAAATCACATTGTAGGATTTTTATGAATTTATTTGCAAATTATGGTGGAAAATAAGTATTTGGTCACCTACAAACAAGCAAGATTTCTGGCTCTCACAGACCTGTAACTTCTTCTTTAAGAGGCTCCTCTGTCCTCCACTCGTTACCTGTATTAATGGCACCTGTTTGAACTTGTTATCAGTATAAAAGACACCTGTCCACAACCTCAAACAGTCACACTCCAAACTCCACTATGGCCAAGACCTAAGAGCTGTCAAAGGACACCAGAAACAAAATTGTAGACCTGCACCAGGCTGGGAAGACTGAATCTGCAATAGGTAAGCAGCTTGGTTTGAAGAAATCAACTGTGGGAGCAATTATTAGGAAATGGAAGACATACAAGACCACTGATAATCTCCCTCGATCTGGGGCTCCACGCAAGATCTCACCCCGTGGGGTCAAAATGATCACAAGAACGGTGAGCAAAAATCCCAGAACCACACGGGGGGACCTAGTGAATGACCTGCAGAGAGCTGGGACCAAAGTAACAAAGCCTACCATCAGTAACACACTACGCCGCCAGGGACTCAAATCCTGCAGTTTCAGACGTGTCCCCCTGCTTAAGCCAGTACATGTCCAGGCCCGTCTGAAGATTGCTAGAGTGCATTTGGATGATCCAGAAGAGGATTGGGAGAATGTCATATGGTCAGATGAAACCAAAATATAACTTTTTGGTAAAAACTCAACTCGTCGTGTTTGGAGGACAAAGAATGCTGAGTTGCATCCAAAGAACACCATACCTACTGTGAAGCATGGGGGTGGAAACATCATGCTTTGGGGCTGTTTTTCTGCAAAGGGACCAGGACGACTGATCCGTGTAAAGGAAAGAATGAATGGGGCCATGTATCGTGAGATTTTGAGTGAAAACCTCGTTCCATCAGCAAGGGCATTGAAGATGAAACGTGGCTGGGTCTTTCAGCATGACAATGATCCCAAACACACCGCCCGGGCAACGAAGGAGTGGCTTCGTAAGAAGCATTTCAAGGTCCTGGAGTGGCCTAGCCAGTCTCCAGATCTCAACCCCATAGAAAATCTTTGGAGGGAGTTGAAAGTCCGTGTTGCCCAGCGACAGCCCCAAAACATCACTGCTCTAGAGGAGATCTGCATGGAGGAATGGGCCAAAATACCAGCAACAGTGTGTGAAAACCTTGTGAAGACTTACAGAAAACGTTTGACCTGTGTCATTGCCAACAAAGGGTATATAACAAAGTATTGAGAAACTTTTGTTATTGACCAAATACTTATTTTCCACCATAATTTGCAAATAAATTCATTAAAAATCCTACAATGTGATTTTCTGGAAAAAAAATTCTCATTTTGTCTGTCATAGTTGACGTGTACCTATGATGAAAATTACAGGCCTCTCTCATCTTTTTAAGTGGGAGAACTTGCACAATTGGTGGCTGACTAAATACTTTTTTTCCCCACTGTATATGTAGGGATAAAGTGACTAGGCAACAGGATAGATAATAGACAGTAACAGCAGCGTATGTGATGAGTGTGGAAATGTGGAAGTGTGTGTGTGTTGAAGTGTGTGTGTTGTGAGTGAGTGTGTAAAGTAAGCATGTGTGATTGTGTGGGTAGAGCATTGTGGTAATCACAACAAACTGACAGATAGTAACATGTACAGTGGCTTGCGAAAGTATTCACCCCCCTTGGCATTTTTCCTATTTTGTTGCCTTACAACCTGGAATTAAAATGGATTTTTGGGGGGTTTGTATCATTTGATTTACACAACATGCCTACCACTTTGAAGATGCAAAATGTTTTTTTTGGTGAAACAAACAAGAAATAAAACAAAAAAATAGAAAACTTGAGCGTGCATAAATATTCACCCCCCCAAAGTCAATACTTTGTAGAGCCACCTTTTGCAGCAATTACAGCTGCAAGTCTCTTGGGGTATGTCTCTATACGCTTGGCACATCTAGCCACTGGGATTTTTCCCCATTCTTCAAGGCAAAACTGCTCCAGCTCCTTCAAGTTGGATGGGTTCCGCTGGTGTAGAGAAATCTATAAGTCATACCACAGATTCTCAATTGGATTGAGGTCTGGGCTTTGACTAGGCCATTCCAAAACATTTAAATGTTTCCCCTTAAACTACTCGAGTGTTGCTTTAGCAGTATGCTTAGCGTCATTGTCCTGCTGGAAGGTGAACCTCCGTCCCAGTTTGAAATCTCTGGAAGACTGAAACAGGTTTCCCTCAAGAATTTCCCTGTATTTAGCTCCATCCATCATTCCTTCAATTCTGACCAGTTTTCGCAGTCCCTGCCGATGAACAACATCCCCACAGCATGATGCTGCCACCACCATGATTCACTGTGGGGATGGTGTTCTCGGGGTGATGAGAGGTGTTGGGTCTGCGCCAGACATAGCGTTTTCCTTGATGGCCAAAAAGCTCAATTTTAGTCTCATCTGACCAGAGTACCTTCTTCCATATGTTTGGGGAGTCTCCCACATGCCTTTTGGCAAACACCAAACGTGTTTGCTTATTTTTTTCTTTAAGCAATGGCTTTTTTCTGGCCACTCTTCCATAAAAGCTCTGTGGAGTGTACGGCTTAAAGTGGTCCTATGGACAGATACTCCAATCTCCGCTGTGGAAATGTGCAGCTCCTGTAGGGTTATCTTTGGTGTCTTTGTTGCCTCTCTGATTAATACCCTCCTTGCCTGGTCTGTGAGTTTTGGTGGGCGGCCCTCTCTTGGCAGGTTTGTTGTGGTGCCATATTCGTTCCATTTTTTAATATTGGATTTAAATGGTGCTCCGTGGGATGTTCAAAGTTTCAGATATTGTTTTATAACCCAACCCTGATCTGTACTTCTCCACAACTTTGTCCCTGACCTGTTTGGAGAGCTCCTTGGTCTTCATGGTGCCGCTTGCTTGGTGGTGCCCCTTGCTTAATGGTGTTGCAGACTCTGGGGCCTTTCAGAACAGGTGTATATATACTGAGATCATGTGGCAGATCATGTGACACTTAGATTGCACACAGGTGGACTTTATTGAACTAATTATGTGACTTCTGAAGGTAATTGGTTGCACCAGATCTTATTTAGGGGCTTCATAGCAAAGGGGGTGAATACATATGCACGCACCACTTTTCCGTAATTTATTTTTTAGGATTTTTTGAAACAAGTAATTTTTTTTATTTCACTTCACCAATTTGGACTATTTTGTGTATGTCCATTACATGTAATCCAAATAAAAATCAATTTGAATTACAGGTTGTAATGCAACAAAATAGCACAAACGCCAAGGCGGATGAATACTTTTGCAAGGCCCTGTATATCCACTCCTGTTGAGTTGTTCATAGATGCAGTAAGATAACTCACCCCGTTATTCTGAGCCGCTCTACCCGACCGGTACCTCTCATACCTGCAACACACAACAAGACAAGTCCTCTGAGTTCAACGTAACGAACACGTAGGCATCGGCATGAATCATACATTTACATTTCTTTCATCTCTAAAAAACAAACATGAAAGGAACGCTTTGACTTTTTGAGGCCATCAAATGTTTAATAGAAGTGTGTGCTCCAGATAGGTCCCCAAGGCCTAAGATGTTTAACTCTGTTCTTGTAGGTAGGGCCTGCTGGAACTATGTGCTCTACATGCCAACATTATGTCACAGAGTAGATATCCTCGTTCACCAGTGGGCTTTGTGTAGCTGTAAGCGTAAGAAGTCAGGTAAGCTAAATTGTGTGTGTTTGTGTGTATTGTCATGCCCATGTGTGTGTGTTACCTCTCGTATCGTAGGAAGATGTTGTTGAGGTCGTCGTTGACGTGCAGCAGCTCCTCTGTCACCTCCTCGTTGGAGACCCGGGAGATCAGCTCCACCACCCGCTGCTGCATGGCCCTGCACGTCCTGTTCAGCTCCTACACACACACACACACACACACACACACACACACACACACACACACACACACACACACACACACACACACACACACACACACACACACACACACACACACACAGGGTGAGGACAGGGCATCACTGATGGAAAGGTGAGAGTCTGTCTGTCACTCAGAAGGTCGATGACTAGAATTCCCTAAAACAGGTCTCTAGCTAGCCAATAGCCATAAATGTCCATAATTAGACTCAGTTGTGTTACTGAGTAAGAGAAATCACAACACTTACATTACATTTTTTGAATCACAGTTTAACTGTATTACCTAAAGTCACCTCACAAAACAGTGGAAAGGTCACCTGATTCAAATACCTATCTATCACCTCAGTCTGAACTACAAAGGGTATCCAGTGTCGTATTCATTGGGGCACAACGTAGCAAAAATGTGTGTTTCAGGTAGTCCCTCCCTGTTTCAATATGTTTTCTTCCATTGGTGCCTAATGAATACGACCCACCTTTGCTTAATTGAGAACCACATTGATTCTAGTCTATTGGTTCAGTGCTTGGAGCAATACTGAAACGCTACAGCTCAGCCAGCTCTGCTTTATCAAGCCTAGTGGTTATGTGGTATGTGTCACAAGACCCGGATTCTGTAGGGGATTTAATTAAAACACTGAAGCTTACATTCTCTTTGAGGTTCTGAGAGCGTGCTTAGTGGTCAGTTCTTGGAATTTGACCACAGGCAGTGGTCTGTCACGCTGCGGAGTGAAGTTTCCCCTATAGGGGCTCGATTCAATCCGTATCGCCGAAAGTTCAGAGCTACAGCGCGATTGAAATTTCAAGGCAATCTTCCCGCGTTCACGGAGACTGCATTCACGGTAAACGCTGCATGTCGGCTCAATCGGAAACTACCTTTAAAATTTCAAGCATGCTTGGGCTCCCAAGTGGCGCAGTGGTCTAAGGCACTGCATCTCAGTGCTTGAGGCGTCACTACAGACCCCCTGGTTCGATTCCAGGCTGTATCACAACCGGCCGTGATTGGGAGTCCCATAGGGCGGCGCACAATTGGCCCAGCGTCGTCCGGGTTTGGCCGGTGTAGGCCGTCATTGTAAATAAGAATTTGTTCTTAACTGACTTGCCTAGTTAAATAAAGGTAAAATACAAAAAACTTCGGTGTTGCGGTTTGAATCGAGCCCTAGGTACAGATCTAGGATCAGCTTCACCTCAACCAATTAAATGCTAAACTGACCCAAGATCAGCATCTAGGGGCAACTTCACCCTACACCAACTGTCACTTAAGAAAGTACAGTACAGTAATATTTAGCATTCACTCCTCCTCCCTCTAGAGTGGTGGTACTATGGTGATACTACTCCCTCTAGAGTGGTGGTACTACTCCCTCTAGAGTGGTGGTACTATGGTGATACTACTCCCTCTAGAGTGGTGGTAGTATGGTGGTACTACTCCCTCTAGAGTGGTGGTCCTATGGTGATACTACTCCCTCTAGAGTGGTGGTCCTATGGTGATACTACTCCCTCTAGAGTGGTGGTACTATGGTGATACTACTCCCTCTAGAGTGGTGGTACTATGGTGTACTACTCCCTCTAGAGTGGTGGTACTATGGTGGTACTACTCCCCCTAGAGTGGTGGTCCTATGGTGGTACTACTCCCTCTAGAGTGGTGGTCCTATGGTGATACTACTCCCTCTAGAGTGGTGGTACTATGGTGGTACTACTCCCTCTAGAGTGGTGGTCCTATGGTGGTACTACTCCCTCTAGAGTGGTGGTACTATGGTGTAGTACTACTCCCTCTAGAGTGGTGGTACTATGGTGGTACTACTCCCTCTAGAGTGGTGGTACTATGGTGGTACTACTCCCCTCTAGAGTGGTGGTACTATGGTGATACTACTCCCCTCTAGAGTGGTTGTGTAACTTATGGTGGTCTATGGTGTACTACTCCCTCTAGAGTGGTGGTCACTATGGTGTACTACTCCCTCTAAGTGTGTGGTACTATGGTGGTACTATCTCCCTCTAGAGTGGTGGTACTATGGTGGTACTACTCCCTCTAGAGTGGTGGTACTATGGTGGTACTATGGTACTACTCCCTCTAGAGTGGTGGTACTATGGTGGTACTACTCCCTCTAGAGTGGTGGTACTATGGTGGTACTACTCCCTCTAGAGTGGTGGTACTATGGTGGTACTACTCCCTCTAGAGTGGTGGTACTATGGTGGTACTATGGTGGTACTACTCCCTCTAGAGTGGTGGTACTATGGTGGTACTACTCCCTCTAGAGTGGTGGTACTATGGTGGTAGTACTCCCTCTAGAGTGGTGGTACTATGGTGGTACTACTCCCTCTAGAGTGGTGGTACTATGGTGGTACTACTCCCCTAGTGGTGGTACTATGTGGTACTACTCCCTCTAGAGTGGTGGTACTATGGTGGTACTATTTCCCCTCTAGAGTGGTGGTACTAGTGGTAGGTACCTCCCTAGGTGGTGGTACTGACTACTCCCTCTAGAGTGGTGGTACTATGGTGATACTACTCCCTCTAGAGTCCCCTGTAGCTCAGTTGGTAGAGCATGGTGCTTGCAACGCCAGGGTTGTGGGTTCGTTTCCCATGGGGGGCCAGTATGAAAATGTATGCACTCACTAACTGTAAGTCGCTCTGGATAAGAGTGTCTGCTAAATGACTAAAATGTAAATGTAAAATGTAGAGTGGTGGTACTATGATGGTACGACTCCCCCTAGTGGGATAAATGAGTTCCAACACATTTCAGTTGAGCAGCAGGGTGACTACAGCAGGGAAGGTTTATACTTGTATTTAGGGGTAAAATAAAAACTAAAAACAGATGGAGCGCTACTGGTGAATTCCTTTTATTAATTTTTTGCGTGCAGTACACAGCTGTCTCAAATTCTCCATGATGAAAAGCTTCCACAGTTTGGACCAATACAGTGATATATTTTTTGTAGTATAAGGGCGTCAGATAAATATAATTACTAGAATGGACATCCCCATTCAAGTCAATGTTGTGTTGTAATTCTATTTCTATGGGGGATGTAGTATCTGACCTGGAGTTTTAGAAATATAATTACTAGAACGGCATCCCCATTCAAGTCAATGTTCTGTAATTGTATTTCTATGCTGGGTGTAGTTTATATTCTGACCTGAAGGAGTTCCAGGTCCGAGGAGTCCTCCTGTCCAGGCACCATCTCCGTCAGCATCTCTGACATCACTTTGGTGTTTCCCCTCACAATGTCCAGTTCACTGCGCAGCCGGGCGATCTGAGGAGGACACACAGGGGTCAAGGGTCAGAGAGAGAAAGTCTTCCCTGATCTGATCAAAGCTAAGTGGAGGCACCCTTGCTTTCGCCTATCTCAGTATGTTACATCAGTGATAAACTCACTAACTGTATGTCGCTCTGGATAAGAGCGTCTGCTAAATGACTAAAATGTAAATGTAATGATAACTCCAAGGAGGGGAGGAAGGAAGGCAGTATGTTGACAGTTTTCAAAGAGGGCCCAAGATTGTGCATAAAGGCCTACAGGATGCGTCTCAATTGTCAAAGTGGCTTCCTCCTCATCTTCTAATATCCTTTCCTTCATCCTCACTAATCTATTAGAACTTGATAGGTGAAAACAAGTGCCATATGGTTCTCACATATGTCATTCCAGTGCAGTGGGCAATTGAAGGAGAGTAAGGGAAGAAGAGGAGAGGAGAGGAGGGGAAGAGGAGGAGAGAAGAGGAAGCACCTTAACACTAGTGAGATGCACCCCCATATTATGCATATCAAGTTCTTCGACGCAACCCTCAGGACAGGCGATACTTGGTTTCTTATTGGGCAACGTCTAGGTAGCCACCCCCTCCCTCTGTTCCAGTCTGTTTTCTTCCGTTTTGGGCCTAATGAACATGACCCTGGTAGTAGTTTAACATTAGCCTTCAGAGGCCATCTTTATCCTCACCTGTTCAGGGTTGGCGGTGATGGGGCCCTGTACGTTGGGGATGTGTGGTATCTGTAGGACGGGGGTGAGAGCGGCGGGGGCTGGGGCTGGAGCCGGGGCGGCTGCAGGCTTGGGGAGGGTGGCTGTAGCTGTGGCTGTGGCTGCAGCGTGGGGCTGGACGGGGGCTTTGTACTTTAGTACAGCCGGGTCCACCTCTGGTAGACCCTGTAGAGAGAACACAACATGAAGTTAGTTAGTACAGTGCTGCTACTACGGCAGTATGGTCACTGCTTCAGATTATTTTATCTCTGTAGCGTGGGTGCGTGCATGCTTGTGTGTGTTTGTGGCACCCTCTGTAGCATGCGTTCATATATGCGTGTGTGTGTTGGGTCTCACCCTCTGTGGTGTGATGTGTGTGTGTGTGTTGGGTCTCACCCTCTGTGGTGTGATGTGTGGTGTGTGTTGGGTCTCACCCTCTGTGGTGTGATGTGTGTGTGCGTGTTGGGTCTCACCCTCTGTGGTGTGATGTGTGTGTGTGCGTGTTGGGTCTCACCCTCTGTGGTGTGTGTGTGTGTGTGCGTGTTGGGTCTCACCCTCTGTGGTGTGTGTGTGTGTGTGGCGTGTTGGGTCTCACCCTCTGTGGTGTGTGTGTGTGTGTGTGTGCGTGTTGGGTCTCACCCTCTGTGGTGTGTGTGTGTGTGTGCATGTTGGGTCTCACCCTCTGTGGTGTGATGTGTGTGTGTGCGTGTTGGGTCTCACCCTCTGTGGTGTGTGTGTGTGTGTGTGTGCGTGTTGGGTCTCACCCTATGTGGTGTGTGGATGGGTGACAGAGCGTCCAGGTCAGCCATGGGGAACTCGATGCCTTTCCTCTTCAGCTCCTCATAAATATGGACCACCCCCGTCAGGTCAGGGCTACTCCTGAAGGCATCCGCCCAGGCCTGGCAACACACAGACAAACACAGAATAAGGCCGTGTCCGGAAACAACCCCTAGCCGCTACATCCTAGGCACTGGTGGACATCTGAGAGGAGTGGCTAGATGAAGGCCAAATGGTGAGGGGCCCAGGTGTTGTGTTGCTGACATCAGTCCTGTGTGTTTGTGTGTTCGGTCTCTGGTTACCTGCCTGGAGCTGCTCAGGTAGAAGGTGTCCTCTCTCCTCCTCTCACTGTATTTAGAGGGGTTTGTTTGAGGTGTCTGGACTAATTTTGGATGTAGGGTTTTCATAACTGCTGTAGCCTGGCCTCTTATAGCTCTGTCTAATGCGTGAGAGATGGGAGGTTGTAGCTCCACCTTGCTCTCTGATGGGCTTGGTGAAATGTTCACCAAGTTACTTATACCTATCCACTCCTCTCAGATGGAAAAGTACCTAGGGGTTTCTTAGATAGATATTATGTGCTGTACCTGGATCAGAGCCAGGACTTTTTCCTGTACGATGGTGGGGGGGTTGGTTTTGGGGGAGATGATTTTGACGAGGACACCATCAATGAAATCCCGGTTAGCCACGAAGACGTGAAACCGGTGGCCGCAGTTCTTTACACACGTCTCCAACACCTGGAGAGAGAAAGAAAGAAAGAAAGAAAGAAAGAAAGAAAGAAAGAAAGAAAGAAAGAAAGAAAGAAAGAAAGAAAAAGAAAGAAGAAAGAAAGAAAAAAGAAAGAACGAAAGAAAGAAGAAAAAAGAAAAGAAAGAAAGAAAACGAAATAACGAAAAAACGCAAAAAGAAAGATCCTAACATCCCGCCTCAACTCAGACATCCATAACTCCTATCCGATCAACGCCACTCATCTCACTACACCCCCCCCCCCGACCCCCTCCTGCCTCCTCCCTCCACGCCCTCCTCCCCTACCTCCCCCGCCGCCCCCCCCCCCTCATCCCCAACCCCCCCCCCCTCCGACCCCGCCAGAAAGGATATTCTCATATTCTAGTTCTCTGGAACAACATCACTTTATAAAGGTTCCATGTGAACATGTCATATGGTCCAAAAAGAAGGTCCATATGTTACTGTAGTAAGACATGTTTCAACATTCTACTCATTGACTCTATTAATCTCAAGACAGAGCTGGGATAGAATGGAGTGCTGTCATACTTGCCTCCATTAGCTGACCACAACACAGAGAAACCAAGAAACACACAGACATAAAACTGCAGTACATGCAGAGAGAGAGAGAGAGGTAAAACATTAGGATGAGAGAAAGAGAAAGAATGATAGAGAGAATCTCCCTAGAGAGATGTGTGCTCAGATATTCACAAAGATCTGACTTCTTTCATCTGACACGGAATACAGGAGCTTTTAACTAGCACACAGATCAAAGGGCTGGATGGATGTAGCTAAAAAAGCAAGAAACACATAAACAAAATAAAATAGGAAGAGAGAAAAAAACATAACAGATGAGAAATCGCCTGAGGGAGAAGACACAGCAGACAATACTCGACAGATCAAGTATTACGAGTGCTACCCCATACCCCCCAGCTAATTCATGAACGTGTGTGTGTCTGTATAGGTGGCTTTTGGAAGCTCAGGATTGAAGAACAAGTGTAACAGATAATAGCACTGTCCTAGTTAAGCATGCAGGCGTGTTTGCAAATGTGGTAAGTGTGCTCTAAATGTGAAAGGTCTATTTGTTTGTTTCGCTTCCCCTAGACTCGGTTGTTGTTGAGGGTAAGTTCAGGCAGTAAGCATTGTTTGGATCTAGGCCTAGCTCTGGACGTATTCTCTCTCTGTCCCTGCTGGTGTGCTCATCCAGTGTTTTCCAAATGGTGGGTCTTGAGTGCTTTGTGACAACTGCCGCTGTAAGAAGGGCTTTATAATATACATTTGATTGATTGCTTGATTTGATTGGTCTGGGGTCAGGTTCTACCGGTGGGTCTCCAGATGCACTTGCACACATGATCAGTGATTTAACCTGCATGTTTTAGGCTTTTCAACACCACACACCCTCTTTATCATCTGAAAAGATTTAGGTGGGTCACGTTGGGAACCTCAGTAGAGCCTGTCTCACCGTCAATCCTAGCATCACCTCCCGGTAGTTCCTGTTCCCACTTAGTCTCTTCTTCAGTGCTCGGATGGCGTCTTTAGGCCTGCAGGAACACAACACAGAAACGTAGCTAAGCACAGAGATCCTGTTAAATAGCATCCTGTAAGTAATTATATGGTTAAGCAGCTAATCTTAATGTAAAGTAAAAGTATGCATGGCATTCTTGGATTAGCATAGGACTTTGGTCATGCTATCAACTCAACTCACACCGTTGTTTTTATTGACCTAACCCATCTTAGCTGTGGTGTTGTTGATTTTGTATGAAGTCGTGTGCAGGTGGGACGTCACAAGGCAACTAGCAGTAAATATCTTGCCTCCGTGGGGCAACAACCACACATTGTTTACTACCTAACAGTCTAAAACACACACACACTTCAAAGGCCCAGTACAGTCAAAACTCAGTTTTTTATATCATATTGTACAACAGCTGATAAAACTAACACTGTAAAAGTTTGAAATAATGTGATCAGTGTTATGTCCTTATAGTTGCTGGTTAAAAATATAAATTTTTAACCTTCTAAAATCAGCAGGTTTTGCATGGTTGGAGTTTTGGCTTGGCTGGTGAGATCACTAAGCAGTATAAGTTAATAGACCAATAACAAAGAGTTCCAAACCAATAACAGCTAGTTTTCAGGTTACATATCCCCCCCATTAGGCCCTTTCTCAGACCAGCTCTCATAAGGTCCTAGCAAAAGTCTTGCTTGAGAAATATTTTTTTGCTAAAAAGCAATTTTTGGTTCTTTCTTACCATTTTAATTAACAACTATTACTACAGTAATGTACAGGGCCTTGCAAAAGTATTCATCCCCCTTGGCGTGTGTCCTATTTTGTTGCATTACAACCTGTAATTGTATTTTATTTTTATTTGGATTTCATGTAATGGACATACACAAAATAGTCCAAATTGGTGTAATATATAACTTGTTTCAAATAATTCCAAAAAATAAATAACGGAAAAGTGGTGCGTGCATATGTATTCACCCCCTTTGCTATGAAGCCCCTAAATAAGATCTGGTGCAACCAATTACCTTCAGAAGTCACATAATTAGTTCAATAAAGTCCACCTGTGTGCAATCTAAGTGTCACATGATCTCAGTATATATACACCTGTTCTGAAAGGCCCCAGAGTCTGCAACACCACTAAGCAAGGGGCACCACCAAGCACCATGAAGACCAAGGAGCTCTCCAAACAGGTCAGGGACAAAGTTGTGGAGAAGTACAGATCAGGGCTGGATTATAAAAAAATATCCGAAACTTTGAACATCCCACGGAGCACCATTAAATCCATTATAAAAAAATTGAAAGAATATGGCACCACAACAAACCTGCCAAGAGAGGGCCGCCCACCAAAACTCACAGACTAGGCAAGGAGGGCATTAATCAGAGAGGCAACAAAGACACCAAAGATAACCCTGAAGGAGCTGCCAAGCTCCACAGCGGAGATTGGAGTATCTGTCCATAGGACCACTTTAAGCCGTACACTCCACAGAGCTGGGCTTTACGGAAGAGTGGCCAGAAAAAAGCCATTGCTTAAAGAAAAAAATAAGCAAACACGTTTGGTGTTCACCAAAAGGCATGTGGGAGACTCCCCAAACATATGGAAGAAGGTACTCTGGTCAGATGAGACTAAAATGTAGCTTTTTGGCCATCAAGGAAAACGCTATGTCTGGCGCAAACCCAACACCTCTCATCACCCCGAGAACACCATCCCCACAGTGAAGCATGGTGGTGGCAGCATCATGCTGTGGGGATGTTTTTCATCGGCAGGGACTGGGAAACTGGTCAGAATTGAAGGAATGATGGATGGCACTAAATACAGGGAAATTCTTGAGGGAAACCTGTTTCAGTCTTCCAGAGATTTGAGACTGGGACGGAGGTTCACCTTCCAGCAGGACAATGACCCTAAGCATACTGCTAAAGCAACACTCGAGTGGTTTAAGGGGAAACATTTAAATGTCTTGGAATGGCCTAGTCAAAGCCCAGACTTCAATCCAATTGAGAATCTGTGGTATGACTTAAAGATTGCTGTACACCAGCGGAACCCATCCAACTTGAAGGAGCTGGAGCAGTTTTGCCTTGAAGAATGGGCAAAAATCCCAGTGGCTAGATGTGCCAAGCTTATAGAGACATACCCCAAGAGACTTGCAGCTGTAATTGCTGCAAAAGGTGGCTCTACAAAGTATTGCCTTTGGGGGTGTGAATAGTTATGCACGCTCAAGTTCTGTTTTATTTGTTTCACAATCAAAAATATTTTGCATCTTCAAAGTGTTAGGCATGTTAAATTATACAAACCCCCCAAAAATCCATTTTAATTCCAGGTTGTAAGGCAACAAAATAGAAGAAATGTCAAGGGGGGTGAATACTTTCGCAAGCCACTGTACTTAATTTTACCCAGAAATGATTTGACATTGAAATAAAATCAGCTGCATTGGCCTTTAAAAAAAGCATCACATAGATCTGAGCCTGTATATCGGTCTTTCTGCCTGCCTGCCTGCCTGCCCCTGCCTGCCTGTCTGTTTGCCTGCCTGTCTGCCTGCCCTATAGAAATATCAAAGCTAATCTTAATAGAGAAAGCTCTCCCTCTCTCTCTCTGTGCTACAGTTGAGGTAATGAGCTTCCATGAACCTCTTAATGAACTCTGGAGCTCTGTGATGTTTCAGAGGAGAGATGAGAGTGTGTATATCACTGTCTGTGACAGCCACGGCTGAGTGTATGCAGTACATAAAACATTAACGGAGGGGTGCTCAGGCAGTAGTCTCACTGACAGTCAGTCTCTCACTGATATGCTTTCTCACTGACACTAGTGGCTCCTATGGGAGGGAGTTGAGGCCTTCAGACTTCAGACACGAAAAGACTATAGAAAGAGAGGAACTTAGGGAATACTGGTGTGTGCTACCTCATGTCAAAAGTTCCACTTCCAGAAGTTTCAGGTAGGCAGTCTGTTTATCTGTCTGATAAGCGGCATTAGTGGAAAGAGAGTGAGCGGGGGGACTATATAATAATTGACCTCAAAAGTTAGTCTTGCTGCTAGCTGGCATTCCTTCCAAATGTACACTACCAGTCAAACGTTTGGACACACCTACTCATTCAAGAGCTTTTCTTTATTTGTAAAACATTTTACATTGTAGAATAATAGTGAAGACATCAAAACTATGAAATAACACACGTTGACTCATTTAGTAACCACAAAGTGTTAAATCAAAATATATTTTATATTTGAGATTCTTCAAATAGCCACCCTTTACCTTGATGACAGCTTTGCACACTCTTGGCATTCTCTCAACCTGATTTATATATATATTAAGACATGGGTCATTTTTTTCCCTGAATTGTACTGAAGTCTTGTGTTCTTCCAGGACGTCAGACAGCTAGCCAGCAGACAGTCAGACCTGACCTGTTAACCACTGTGACTGGAACACAAGACAGTCCAGTGTTCAGTCAAGCAGAATAGACTGACTGGGGCTGCGAGTGAGTGTGTATGTGTGTGTGTGTGTGTGCCAAAGCTTGAGTGCATGTGGGCATGAGGAATGTGAGAGACAGAAAGGGAGAGAAAAAAGAGAGAAAGGGGAAGCAGAAGAATGATTCGGGGAAGAGGAAATAATTGTAGAGGGTTTGAATCCCTCCAGTTGTTCCTAAAGGCCACAGCAACAGACTCAACCGATTTCAGGAGGGTCAACAACAACTTTCATCTCATTAAGCTAAAAAATTGCATTTTCCCGTTCCCTTCTGTCTGCACTGCAGCTTGACCCTGTGCTTGTCTCGACTGTATGTGTGATGTGTGCCGTGTAGGGCGTTTGAGAGCAGAGCAGAAGACAAATGTCTGTTGTTCGCTGTAACTAATGGACAATAAAGTTGTATTGTATTTGTGCACACTATTTGTTATTTTTGAGTGTAATAAGTGGTTTGTGTTTGTGCAAGTGACTTGTTCAGTCAGTCAGTAAGGCAAGCAGTGAGTCAGTCCGTCTTTCAGCCAGTAAGTCCGTCTTTCAGCCAGTAAGTCCGTCTTTCAGCCAGTAAGTCCGTCTTTCAGCCAGTAAGTCTCGTCTTTCAGCCAGTAAGTCGTTTCATCCAGTTAGTCATCATATCTTTTCAGCCAGTTAGTCAATCAGTTAGTCCGTCTTTCAGTCAGTTAGTCCATCTTTCAGCCAGTTAGTCAATCAGTTAGTCCGTCTTTCAGCCAGTTAGTCAATCAGTTAGTCCGTCTTTCAGTCAGTAGTCCGTCTTTCAGCCAGTAAGTCCGTCTTTCAGCCAGTAAGTCCGTCTTTCAGCCAGTAAGTCCGTCTTTCAGCCAGTAAGTCCGTCTTTCAGCCAGTTAGTCAATCAGTTAGTCCATCTTTCAGCCAGTTAGTCAATCAGTTAGTCCGTCTTTCAGCCAGTTAGTCAATCAGGTAGCCCGTCTTTCAGTCAGTTAGTCCGTCTTTCAGCCAGTCAGTCGTCTTCAGCAGTCAGCGCTTTAGCAGTCGTCCGTCTTTCAGCCAGTAAGTCGTCTTCAGCCAGTAGTCCGTCTTTAGCAGTAAGTCGTCTTCAGCAGTTAGTAATCAATCAGTCAGGGGAAAGTGTTGGTGTATGTGATGTAGTCAGTAGCTCACCCTTCCTCCGTCTCGTTGATGATGTCACAGATCTCCATGTTGAGGGTCCAGTCCTCAGCCTGCAGGCCGCCATCCGTGGCATTCTCTGGAAAAGACAACAGGAAGTCAACAATAGGAAGTCAACAACAACAGGAAGTAAACAAGCCTGCTCATTGGACCAAGGAAGACCCTAAGTAGTAGGAAGTTGCCCCTAGAGCAGTGAGCAACACCTAACCCCATTGGAATAACCAGTACAGCCCGAAAAGGATGAACCACCCCTTTGGGCCTGGATCCTATCTAGGTTTCTTCCTAGGTTTATTCCTTCTAGGGAGTCTTTCCTGGTGCTTTCACTTCTGCTTTTCTTGCTCTTTTGGGTCTAGGCTGGGCACCTTGTGACAACACACAAAAACAGCGCCGGAGAAGATGGCTGCCGTTTTACAGCCCTCTAACCAATTGTACTATTATGTGTGTTTTTCCACGTTATTTGTAATTTATTTTGTACATAATGTTTCTGCCATCGTCTCTTATAACCAAAAAGAGCTTCTGGATATCAGGACAGCGATTACTCACCTCGTATTGGACGAAGATTTTTTCTTCAACGAGGCGGCCGCGAAGGATATCATACAGACACCCGACAAGGCCCAAATCCCCGTAATTCGCGTGAGGAAGAGACGGAGATATCGTGGACGGAGATCGGGGTGCCTTGTAAGGATCCGACGGCGAGCGAGTAAACTGCCTCTTCCATCAATCCTATTAGCCAACGTTCAATCTTTTGAAAATAAAGTGGACGACTTAAGATTACGGTTATCCTACCAACGGGACATTAAAAACTGTAATATATTATGTTTCACCGAGTCGTGGCTGAACGACGACAATGATAACATTCAGCTAGCAGGCTACACGCTACATCGGCAGGACAGAACGGCTGACTCCGGTAAGACAAGGGGTGGCGGTCTGTGTATATTTGTAAACAACAGCTGGTGCACAAAATCAAATACTAAGGAAGTCTCGAGGTTTTGCTCGCCTGAGGTAGAGTATCTTATGATAAGCTGTAGACCACACTATTTACCAAGAGAGTTTTCATCTATATTTTTCATAGCTGTCTATTTACCACCACAAACCAATGCTGGCATTAAGATTGCACTGAATGAGTTGTACAAGGCCATTAATCAACAGGAAAACGCTCATCCAGATGCAGCGCTCCTAGTGGCCGGGGACTTTAATGCAGGGAAACTTAAATCCGTTTTACCTAATTTCTACCAGCATGTTAAATGTGCAACCAGAGGGAAAAAAACTCTAGACCACCTTTACTCCACACACAGAGACGCATACAAAGCTCTCCCTCGCCCTCCATTTGGCAAATCTGACCATAACTCTATCCTCCTGATTCCTGCTTATAAGCAAAAACTAAAGCAGGAAGCACCAGTGACTCGGTTAATAAAAAAGTGGTCAGATGACGCAGATGCTAAGCTACAGGACTGTTTTGCTAGCACAGACTGGAACATGTTCCGGGATTCTTCAGACAGCATTGAGGAGTACACCACATCAGTCACTGGCATCGATGATGTCGTCCCCACAGTGACCGTACGTACATACCCCAACCAGAAGCCATGGATTACAGGAAACATCCGCACTGAGCTAAAGGGTAGAGCTGCCGCTTTCAAGGAACGGGACTCTAACCCGGACGCTTATAAGAAATCCCGCTATGACCTCCGACGAACCATCAAACAGGCAAAGAGTCAATACAGGTCTAAGATTGAATCGTACTACACTGGCTCTGACGCTCGTCGGATGTGGCAGGGCTTGAAAACTATTACAGACTACAAAGGGAAGCACAGCCGCGAGCTGCCCAGTGACACAAGCCTACCAGACGAGCTAAACCACTTCTATGCTCGCTTCGAGGCAAGCAACACTGAAGCATGCATGAGAGCACCAGCTGTTCCGGATGACTATGTGATCACGCTCTCCGTAGCCGATGTGAGTAAGACTTTTAAGCAGGTCAACATTCACAAGGCCGCAGGGCCAGACGGATTACCAGGACGTGTACTCCGAGCATGTGCTGACCAACTGGCAAGTGTCTTCACTGACATTTTCAACATGTCCCTGACTGAGTCTGTAATACCAACATGTTTCAAGCAGACCACCATAGTTCCCCGTGCCCAAGGACTCTAAGATAACCTGCCTAAATGACTACCGACCCGTAGCACTGACGTCTGTAGCCATGAAGTGCTTTGAAAGGCTGGTCATGGCTCACATCAACAGCATTATCCCAGAAACCCTAGACCCACTCCAATTTGCATACCGCCCCAACAGATCCACAGATGATGCAATCTCTATTGCACTCCACACTGCCCTTTCCCACCTGGACAAGAGGAACACCTACGTGAGAATGCTATTCATTGACTACAGCTCAGCATTCAACACCATAGTGCCCTCTAAGCTCATCACTAAGCTAAGGATCCTGGGACTAAACACCTCCCTCTGCAACTGGATCCTGGACTTCCTGACGGGCCGCCCCCAGGTGGTAAGGGTAGGTAACAACACATCTGCCACACTGATCCTCAACACGGGGGCCCCTCAGGGGTGCGTGCTCAGTCCCCTCCTGTACTCTCTGTTCATCCATGACTGCATGGCCAGGCACGACTCCAACACCATCATTAAGTTTGCCGACGACACAACAGTGGTAGGCCTGATCACCGACAACGATGAGACAGCCTATAGGGAGGAGGTCAGAGATCTGGCCGTGTGGTGCCAGGACAACAACCTCTCCCTCAACGTGACCAAGACAAAGGAGATGATTGTGGACTACAGGAAAAAAAAAAGAGGACTGAGCACGCCCCCATTCTTATCGACGGGGCTGTAGTGGAACAGGTTGAGAGCTTCAAGTTCCTTGGTGTCCACATCACTAACGAACTATCATGGTCCAAACACACCAAGACAGTCGTGAAGAGGGCACGACAAAGCCTATTCCCCCTCAGGAGACTAAAAAGATTTGGCATGGGTCCTCAGATCCTCAAAAAATTCTACAGCTGCACCATCGAGAGCATCCTGAGTGGTTGCATCACCGCCTGGTATGGCAACTGCTTGGCCTCCGACCGCAAGGCACTACAGAGGGTAGTGCGTACGGCCCAGTACATCACTGGGGCAAAGCTTCCTGCCATCCAGGACCTCTATACCAGGCGGTGTCAGAGGAAGGCCCTCAAAATTGTCAAAGACTCCAGCCACCCTGTTCTCTCTGCTACCGCACGGCAAGCGGTACCGGAGTGCCAAGTCTAGGTCCAAAAGACTTCTCAACAGCTTCTACCCCCAAGCCATAAGACTCCTGAACAGCTAATCATGGCTACCCAGACTATTTGCACTGCCCCCCCACCCCATCCTTTTTACGCTGCTGCTACTCTGTTAAGTATTTATGCATAGTCACTTTAACTCTACCCACATGTACATATTACCTCAACTAGCCGGTGCCCCCGCACATTGACTCTGCAACGGTACCCCCCTGTATATATAGCCTCCCTACTGTCACTTTATTTTACTTCTGCTCTTTTTTTTCTCAACACTTTTTTTTGTTGTTGTTGTTTATTTTACTTTTTTGTTTAAAATAAATGCACTGTTGGTTAAGGGCTGTAAGTAAGCATTTCACTGTAATGTCTGCACCTGTTGTATTCGGCGCATGTGACCAATAAAATTTGATTTGATTTGATTTTGATTTGAAATAGCTTAATAAAAGAAATTAGGCCTAATTGATTGATTAACTAGATGGGAGATGTAAAACAGGTTTTATAACTGACCTAGAGTCAGTACTCTGCCAACCCACTGTCCACTAAGCCTTGGGTTATATTTCAGTCCGACTGCGCTGTGACCTGTCCCCTTACCTCAACAAGCCGCACTAATTAACCTAAACTCCATGGCTTATGTAAAATTACTGTGGGCATGAGAAACGTTGTGTAGCCAAGCACATAAACATGTGATAACAGTAACACGTTTCCTGTAGCATGCCAATCTCTCGCTATTGATGTGTCTCGTTTGATAACTGTAGCATAGGCCTAGGCCTTTTCGGATGTTAAAAATGCATTCCTGCTTCCTTCCTAGAAGTAGTCTGATGATCTAACCTGCTTAGACAGGTGTGAGCAAGGCTTCTACTGGTGTTGATTTCACCAATCACGTCATGTGTGATGCATTTTAACGTCATGGAAGGATGCATTTTAAGCCTATTCAAACAGGACCATGGGTGTTATCTCTGCATTGTCTTAGAGAGAGGAAATGTAATAAAGGGAAACATGTGACAGACAGGATTTGGGCTATTGGCTTTTCAACACAGTCAGTAACAGTGAAGTTTTATAATGACATAATTGAGCTGACGTCTAGAAGTCTACTACCACTGGTGTCGACCAATTACCGTGCTGAATTCATCCCTCTATGAAACAGGATTAAAGAACTGTGTGTGTCCCACATGGAACCCTATTCCCTATATAGTCCACTACTTTTGATCAGAGCCCTATGAGCCCTGGTCAAAAGTAGTGCACTACATATAGAATGGGATGAAATTTGGGATGCAGGCCTAGTCTCCCTCCTGGTATTGGCTGGCAGAAAACAAGGAAACTGAGCCAGCTAGAGGTTTTTAGAGTCAAAACACAAAGCTAAGAGTTAAAATGTTTAAAAGTTAGTAATGATGACTAGGCTAGCTCTAGGTTAGCTCATGGCTCAGTCAGTCAGAGCTTTTCTACCTCCAGCCCAGGGGCGCAGAGCAGAGTGGTATGCCCAGGCCAGGGGCCTCTCTCTGGGGCTGTGTCCTGTTCTGGCCTGGTCAGCCTGGAGGCACTGGTGGTTCATGATCTCTACCGTCCCTCTCCTTCCAACCCGTCAGATCACACAGTCTACCACTGAGAGGCCACTGTATGTGAAGGACTTTGATGCTTTTGGTGTCTGTTTCTCTCATTTCAATCACACCCACACACAGTATGCGAACATACACACGCCGCCTCTAATCTAAATATTACTCAAATAAAGTATTTCCTGTGCACACAAAGACAGTATTCTGCTAACCTGTTGACAACATGTCAGAACATGAGAAGCCAAGGTAAACAGCAAGACACTGTTTTTAGCTGC